CGCCCCCAGCCTACACCCTGGCGCCACCCCCGAGCCCAAGAGCGTGGTGAGGTCGCCGCTGCCCTCGCCGCCCACCAGCCCAGCCAGCGCGCCGGGCAAGGAGGAGTACAACTGCTCGTACTGCGACATTGCCTTCAGGGACATCGTCATGTACACCATGCACATGGGGTACCACGGCTACCAGGACCCGTTCCAGTGCAACATGTGCGGCCAGCAGACCACAGACAAGGTGGCATTCTTCCTGCACATCGCGCGTTCGAGCCATAGTTAGGCTCAACGAAATCGTCTTCGAGTTATCGAGACATCGATCGGACTGCTGGTAGTGAGATTTGGCCTGTTTGACCACCCTTGACCATCACGTTAAGTGCGATCGCAATGCCCCAGTGGTTCACCTCAGTCCGTGGCCACTATGTGGCCTCACGCTGCGCCGCATTAAACGTGATGCATTTCTGTTAATTTCATTTTTTGTATTATATATTTTTATCCGTGTGTCTCCAGGTCGGTCCGGTAGAGCGATCGATGTATCGAATGTCCATTTAACTCTAGTCACTGCACATAGTATAAAGAGATAAAGAATGTATTTATTGCCGATGGGGTGAGACAATGAGTCGAGAGTGCAATCGATGGCTTTGTAAGAAGCTAGTTTCGGAGCAATACGGGTAAAGAGTCTTGATGAAGCGGCTCCCTAAGTTAGATGTCGCCATCTTGCCTCACGCCATCTCGGGCGTCAAATCAGTATTAAGAATGTCTTGATTGTCAACAAAATAAGTCTTCTCTGAGTTTTGAGATCAATTTTTGAGGATGTTCCATTTTGGAGCCGTTCGTGTTCTTATGTTTTAAATATTACGTAAAAAAGATACCTGAACAAATGTATTGCGTGGTGTGATGTGAGCCCTTTGATTTGTATTGACAAACTTTGTCAGATCAATCCGTGTAGCTATGTTGTGTTGAAATGTTATAATTTTGTTTTCTACTGTACATAGACTTGACTTCTTTCATTGTGACCAAAGAATGAATTGTGTGGTGCGACATGATGATAGACCTGACTGGACGTGTATCTATTTTTGTACTAGGTCATCACAAGTGTACATTGCGTCTCCTAAATAATAGATTTATATTTCATATTTCAAAAAT